TTAGGCACTGCCACAAGATGCAGCTCCTTTCCATTTTAGTGGGCATGATGTTGCATGGTGTTTTCCCAGCCTTTCCAGCAACAGAGGGGGGTGATCACAGGGCTCTCTACAATGGCTGGATCTAGGATTTTGAAAAGTGGATTGCAAATGTTGAAGGGTGTCATCATCTATGAAACATCTCATATTTTTTCCAGTTAAAGGAAAAACTAGAAGCTCTACTTATAGGCTAGGAGGCTAGGGCTGTATTATTTAGTTTAAGAATTAATAAAAAACAAATATAACTTCATTAGAATGAGTTAAAAAGTCAGCTGTGAAATAGGAAATTTGTTACCAGGAGCAGCTAACAGGCAGCAAAACTGCAGAACAAAGGCTAGGTTGACTGGTAGAACATCAAGACCATTGAAAAGAAGAGAGGGTCATTAATGCCTGTTGAATGATGAGTTTAGAAGGGATCAGGTAGATTACAATGAGCCATAAAATCAATAGATTCCCTCAGCACTGCCTGACTAGAAATGCTGGTGCTTCTGCTGCCATGCAGTTGGTTTTAAACTTTAGGTGGAACAGGAATTAGAGGTGGGTATAAATGCAACACTACACCTGGGTATAAGTGCAACAGTATACCCTCCTGACCCCACCCCTGTCCTCTTCAGCATATTTCATTCCTTTCAAGTGCCCAGCTATCAGACATATTTGTTTTAAATCCTACAGATCCATGCTGCATGTTACATATATTATACAATTAACTGGTCAATCACACAATAAATTTAGACCAATTACACATGCAAAAATGACTATCCAGCTCTAAAAAGAGCCAATCAGCTATAAAGTTAATTCTTGAAAATGTGTAACAACTCTACAGTTGGTTTCTATCCAGCTTTAATTTGAACATGTAGCAAGGCCTGCAGACATGTCAACTCTTCTTAGTTAGGAAAGGGAGATCTGGGTTTTAGAAAAATACTTGGTATTCCCCTTACCCACAGTTCTTCCGGAAGTCCTTACCCCAGGATGGTCAGTGAATGGAGTTGAATAATGCATCTTCATATTATTCAGGTGTTGTCAGGTCTGGTTATAATTAGAAATGGGTCAAAACAAGTATCTGTGAACTTTGGTGTCTTCGAAAGCTAAATAAGGATCCATATGTGATGGCACTGCCTCAGTATGAGTTTATTTCTTATTATAGTTTTCTTATATGTTCTAAATTTGCATTTCTGTAGCAATATTGGGGATCTGTGGATAAAAATTGCTATTTTTATTATCAGAGGTGCAGTGAGCTTGTTCAGAACCAGGGACAGGACTGGGGGGTATGTTGACCACTGTAGAGGGAGGGGGAAGTCTTACCTGCTTAGGTTCTCTGCACACTGAAGGCAGCTACTGCTGCTGTAGCAGGGTCAGCTCTGGTGGCAGTAGCTATGTGGTGCAGGCTCCCTGGGAGTTGCACCTGGTGCTATGCTCATTTCCCCCAAGACCAGATATGCAATTGGACACAGGGCTCTGCTTGCTATGGCAGACTCCCTATGGGTCAGGAAGCACCATTACACTCGCCCTACTCACTCCCACTGCCCAGATATACAGAGCAGCCCCTGCCACAACAAAGACTCCTGGGGGAGATATTCTGGTGCCCCCTCATAGTTATCACCTGGGGTTTGTGCCCCACTTGCCCCCCGTACTTATGCTACTGAGTATTATTCCAATTGTATAGATGGGGGAAACTGCAACAGTACATGGAAGAAAATCAGTTGCTTATCTGGAAATTAAGTCTGACTTTCTGATTCCCACACCAGTCAGTTAATTATTACATGACTTATTTGTAGACAAGTAATGCTTAGAAGGCCTCAACTGAGACTGGAGTACATGCACATAAATAAGGTGTAGTTTGTGCTTTGAAGGACTTACATAACAAAAAGCAGGAAAAGGGAAAGACCATTCATCTCCATCTCAGATGAGGGAAATGGAAGCAGAAAGAGATTAAATTACTTGTCTAATGTAGCACATCTGCCAAACAAGAAATTAAATTATTTCTTATTCCAGCTCTCTAGATCATACGTGTGCACCAAATTTTCTTCATGCCTGAGGCACTATTTAAAATGATCAAAGATACTTCATTCCAACAGTACTACTAGTGTACTCAAGTCACAGTTGTGCAGGATGAATTATTTTTAAAACAGAGGCCTGGAGTGAGTTAAGGTGTGTCAAGGAAGTTTTCTAGAAAGCTCTGCTTAGCGGCCACTTTTATTTAATAGAGATTTCAGGAAGTGTCATTGACAAAAGTCTCTGGAGTTTTCATATGAGCTGTGATTTCTTAATTCTCACACAACAGACCTGAAAATTAGTTAAAAAGAAACTGTGTCACTTCTTTCTTGGCAATAGCCCTCCCATTCCATACACACTACTAGACAGACTACTAAACAGATTACTAGAGTATGAAAAGAACTTGTCTCATAACAAAAATCCATAGAATAAAATCGAGGTGTTTAATGAAACAGCATTTCCCCACTTTGAATTTTAAAGCTATGAACATTTATCCTGTCCCATACCACCGTTCTTCCCAAAGCCGCAGAGCCATACAGAAAGCTGAAATAGCATTTTTACTATATTAGATGACACGTTAACTAAAGTTACCTCCTTTGTATTCCTACCCCAGTTCACATTTAGAAATTTTTGTGAAATTAAAAAATGTATTTACTCAGATTTGTATCATGATGAAGAAAGTTGTACATTAAGTGTGTATTCTCAGCCTGATACTAAAAATATCACCTGTACTGGTGTCTATGTTAGCAGAGAACCAACTTCCACAATTTATAATCCAAATATAAAATTGAAAAGTACTTAAGTATTTCCATATGCAAGTGCCCAAGCTTTTTCTTTGCTACAAATATCTGCAGAGAACAGTGGCTCTCAGATAAAAAGCAAAGTTGGCACAGAGGAGTACTGCTATCTATAGCCAAACATGTAAATCCACTGTGCAGAGGCTTGAGCCAAGATGGTAACAAAGGCTGAAAGCTCACCTGGCCTTCTGCTGTACCTGGAATTCTTGAGTGTCCTCCAGCTTGCCTCAGATCCTGACTTTCCCATGGCTAGCTTTGTTCACTGTGACTTAGTTGCATATTGTTAACAAAGAGAACAGGCCCTATTGACAGTCATCATGCCCCTTTCTTGTTGAAAAGACTGACTTTTGGCAAGTTGATTTTGACTTACCATATTGCTTCAGGACTCTTCTGAACCAATTTTGTAGTGGCCAAAGCCAATTTTGTAGTGGCCACTGCCAGCAGACAGAAATAGCATTTTGGGGATTCTCCAAACAGCAGGTGTGGCTGGGTGCGGGTGACTTGTATCACAGAGATCTGACCCCTAACTAGATCAGGCCCAGATCCTATTCCAGTTATTAGGCACCTAAATTCATATACGTGCCCAAGTGCAATCCTATCCTACCCTACTTGAGTTCCTGAAAAACCATTAATGCAAAAGATTTGTGGGGCAGTGGTACACTTTTCCTCTTGACTCCTTTTTGTGAGTGTTTAGACTAAGATGACTATGTTACAAAAGTAGATGTATTAATGAGTTTTTAGGGACTTGAACAGAGTGAGAGGCATGAAGTAGGTGGAACAGAGTATAGCCCTAACTGTGCTCAGTTCTGCTATAGAGAGTATTGAGGCTTGGCCTGGCCAGATTTGTGTCCCTACTAATAAGAAGCTCATTTATGCATGGTATTCCTTTGGTAGGTAAGATCTTGTACATGACTTCTGTATTTTTAGCCTATCCCACTTCAACATTTGTTTTTTCACCAGGCATAAGAAAAAAAAATAAACTATTTGACATTATTATTTGTCTTACTATGACTATTTTGTTTATTTACATATGCAAATACAATTTTTAAAGAAAAACATTAAAGAAAAGGTGAAAACACAGTAATGAGATGCTCTTATTAATCTAAATTACAATGTACAGAAAACTGAGATACTACTCAACAGAAATCCTAGACTACACAGACAAATCAATCCATGTCCTTACACAACTGTGACTCATCCCATTACTCAGTTTCTTTGCTTTTCATTATGTTCTGTAGCTAAGCTATCTTAAATTTCTCTTGGCTGTTTCTAACAGGAGAAGAATACACAATTCTTCTCTAAGCTCAGTATCCTCTACCAGTGGGTTTGTTTTGAACACCATAAACAAATATATAGAATGTCAAGCAGAATAAAGATAAAGGGGTTCCTGCATAAATTAATGTATTCTGATTCAAAAGATTGGCTCAGAAAGGTCAGCTTTGTTTGAGGAAACATTAAGGTTTGCACTGTATAAATCAGGCCTAACCAAAACCAATAACATAGATCTCATGTAGAGCTGGTCAGTCAGTCTGCTTCATTTACTTATTATTTATGTGAAATACTGGGCACTCTACAGAAAAAGAAATAGTCCCTGTCTTGAAGTATTTGCAGTCTTGGGAGCTGATCTCGCAACTGGCAGTGTACAGGCAGACTCTTATATCTGTATACCCCCACAGGATTCAACAGGACTCTGCGTAAGTGGAGCAGCTCACTTGCCTGCTGTCCATTGAATGACTAGAGCCAAAGATTAGCTATGACTGTTACATGAAAAGGGATGAATACAAGAGGGTAAAGAGAGCGAGGGTCACAACACTGAGACAGTGGGATGAAGTTTGCTTACACACGTAGAGGTAGTTAGCCGTGTTAGCTTGAAATCAATCAGATAGCAGGGTTGGTATGTACCTTATAGACCAATTAAATAAGATATCTAGACTAGAGCATAAGCTTTTGTGAACTTGAGCTCAATTCATCAGATGATGTGAAAGGATAAGCAAAAACCAACGTATAAAGTGGAGTGAGCATTTTGAATGCAAAAGGTGAGAAAGGAGGATGGAGAGGAAGGGTGGGGGAGAAAGGCAGTGCTAGGAGAGGCAAACAAGCAAAGAATCCATAGAAGTAGAGGGGCCACAAAAGCTAATCCAGGTAATGGGATAAGAATCCATAGTCCCTGTTTAGACCACACACAATCCAATCTGTGGATGATTTTTTTATGCTATTTCCCATTCAAATTGGTTTAAAAAATTTTGCTGCCTGAAAACAGTGATCCTGAGGTCAGTGATGGAGCATTCTGCCACAGGCCTTCATGTCTTTCTGCAGCCAATGTCAAATCAGCGTTCATTCATTTTTACATGTAGAAATTTCTCCTTCTGTCTGATGTAGACAGCAGCAGTACACTGTATGCAGGTGATGGCATATATGGCATTGGTAGAGTTGCAGGTGAATTACCATGATTTTTTAGGAACTGGTTTAAAGAAACTGTCCAAGTAGAAATGTAAAGATTGAAGTGATGTAGTTCTTGCTGGAGCATATGTTATATTCCTTGTTATTTGATCCAGTGATTATGTGGTGTGTATTAATGTGAAGGCATAGCTGGCATTTGGGTCCATCGCAAGGCCTGGTGCCTTGGTGATGATGGGAGTTAGTTAGTCTGTGGCCTGATAGACATGGTTTGAAGTTGGGTGTACTGTCTGTAAACTAGGATAGGTTTGTCCCCCATGGCTACCTTGAGAAAGTCATCCTTTTCCAGGAAGCGTTGGATGTCATTAGTGATTAAGGTGTTCAAGCTTGGGGCTGTAGATGACAACCAAAGGTATTCTGTTGTCCTTGTCCCAGGGATTTTTTTTGTAGCAGGTTAGAGTGATGTCTGAGTTTGTCTTTGTTGATTTGAATAGATACAGTTCTGGAATTGTATTGTAATTGTAGGAATCCCTGCTCCAGATCCTTGAAGTGTACATCCTAATCAGTGGGATCAGAGCAGATCCGGTTGTAACATAGAGCTTAACTGTAAACGATGGATCTAACGGTGTCCTTAGGTTGAAAGCCAGGGACGTGAAGGTACCTTTGGTGGTTGGTTGGTTTCTGATACAACATGATGGCAGTATGAACATTGCAAACCTTCACTGTAGTGTCTAAGAAATTAATTTGATGGGTGAAATATTCCAGAGTTAGTGTAAGGGAGGAGTGGATGTTGTTAAAGTCCTGGTGAGGTTTCTTTAGAGATTCCTTCCCATGTGTTCCTGTTATGAAGAAGTTGTTTTTCATAGTGTAGAAGCAAGTTTTCAGTCTCAAAATGGCACATTTTAAAGTTATTATAAATGCAAACAAAATATGTTTGCAATCTTCATTCCCCCTTACCATTAGTTTGCATGTGGAAATGTGGTACAGAAGCTAAATGCGTTATCCTCACTTACAGTGGTAAGGATACAGTGGTCCTGTATAGAAATAAAAAAATTAAATAAATGCTCTAACCCACAGAAATACCCAGGAACTGGAACAGTTTAATTATACGGCCTAGTATAGTAGGTACCAATTAAAGCATAATATAGTAGGTCTCCATTAAAAGCTTCTCTAAAGTGCAAATTAAAACCTCCTAGGGAATTTTTATTGTAATAGTCATAGAAATAAAACATTAGAACAACTAATAGCCATAATACCCACCCAACAACTACCATGTACCTGTAGACTCCCTAGTCAAACAGGAGTAAATAAAAATTACCTTGATTTTTAGGAACTGGTTTAAAGAAACTGTCAAAGTAGAAATGCCAAGATTTAAGTGATATAGTCCTTGCTGGAGCATATGTTAATACAACCACTGATCTGTGTATATAGAAATCATACAGAGGCTTGTTAATAGCATGAACCAAAGTCGGCCTCAATAACAGGATGAGTGATAGACACTGGTGAACAGAAAGCAGACCATGCATGATGTAAGTGGAAATACTTGGAAAGTTAGGAATATTCATTTTAGGGCATCTCAGAAGGGCAATGTATGGAAAACAATGGATAAGATGTGTACAAGACACCAAAACAGAGAACAGAGTGAGCTGGTAAACAGGTCGTCCCCTCTGATGGGAAAGCTATAATGTCTGGTTAAAACTGGATGTGGATGATGTCACCTAAAGATGTTTTAGCATTTGGTAAGAAGTAGGGTGTATATGCTATAGACATGAAATTGTTTAGATCGATGCATAATAAAAGGCTGGGAACCCTAGATACTTTGCACTGAGCTAGGGGCTGTGTTTTATACTGGAGCCGTGTTTGCAGATAACCTGCTTAACACCATGTGTGAATGGGGCATGACAGTTAGTGCCTAGGCTTGTTCATGAGCAATAAACCCTCTGTTGCTAAGACCCAAAGTCTTTGGTTTCATTATTATAACTAACAAGGTTGTTATGAGTATTTGTAATATAATATCATGAGTGATATCCTGACAACATGCACACAGCTCATCCAAACTGAGAGAGCCTGTTCTGACCAGTACTACTTCACCCTTCACCGCACCTAACTGGCAATCAGCAGTAAGGAAAAAAAGCAAGTGCACCATTTCCCTTTAATGTGTCCTTTCTACTGGAGGGTATTTTCTTTATAGATCCTATAACAGGGAGCCAGAGGGTCCCTGTTACTTTAAGGGGAAAAGCAGCAGCAGAGAGTTCCTCAGGTGGAGGGAAATACTGCCCTTAATGCAGTAGGCTGCAGGGGAGTAGGCAACCAGAGGCCAAAGACTACAAGCAGCTATTGCAGGGGCAGGCAATTATTTCAGGTGGAGGGCTGCTTACCCAGTTTTGGCAGGCTGTTGAGGGCCATATGGGTAGCCCCACCACTTGATAGGTGCTCCGCCCCTTGACTGGTGCCCCGCCCCCTGGTTACCATCTTGGGACCAATGTCCCAATGTTTTGGGACCAATGATCCAGGGCCAGCACTGGTGGGGCCCAAAGCAGGGCACAGGCTGGCAGGGGTCTGTGGAGCCAGGCTGAGCTGCACCAGCAGGGAGAGGGGGGAGCTGGCCCCACTCCATAGAGCCCCTGCCGGCTGGGACCCCGCGCTCCTGCCACCCTGCTCTGTGCCCCACTGGCACTGGCCCTGGGACACTGGTGCGGTCCCTGTGTTCCCGCTGGCTCCCACGCCCACTCACACCCAGTGCCCCCCAGCCCTGCAACACAGGTAGGGGGCAGTGCACAGTCCCAACCCCATGCTCGTTGGCAAGGAAGAAGCTGGTGCTGAGTGCAGGGAAAAGCAGCCCCTTGCCCACCCCGTGGCTAGCACTCCCTGCTGCAGGCACTCACAGCCCATGTGGGGCTGTCCTGAGCAGGCGCAGGCAGCCCCATGCAGGCTGCAAGCAGGTACAGCACAGGGCGCTGGCCATGGGGTAAGTGAGGGGCCGCTTTTCCCCATGCTCAGCACCAGCTTGTAACCCGCCCCGCTGCCAGCCTGGACTTCAAGCTGGCTCTGGGCTTGCCCATCAGCAGTAGCAGCTCTGGCCCCCACTGCTTACCGTGCCGGGCAATGTTGGCTGCTGCTGCCCACCTGGAGCTCGTGCACTGGGCAGTGCACAGGCGACAGTGGCAAACACTGCCCAGTGTGGCAAGTGGGGGGGCTGCAGCTGCTGTAACCACACACAGCACTGACAGGCAAGGGCTGGAGCCGGTGTGGGGCCCAGGCTGGCTGCGGGGGGGCCAGGTTACAAGGTGGTGCTGAGTGTAGGCGGGGTGGTGAAAGTGACCTCACGCCCACCCTGTGCCCAGCGCCCCATGCTGCAGCCACTTGCAGCCCACCTGGGGCTGCCTGTGCCTGCTCCGGACAGCCCCGCATGGGCTGAGAGTGGGTGCAACGCACCTGCCATGGGGCAGGCAAGGGGCCACTTTCCTCTGCATCGGGAAGGAGCCTGGGGAAAAGCTGAGCATGGGGAAAAGTGGTCCCTACCCTGCCCTATGACTGCTGCTCCCTGCTGCCCATGGGGCTGTCTGGAGCAGGCACAAGCAGCCCCATGTGGGCTGTGAGTGGCTGCAGCGCGGGGTGCTGGCCACGGAGCAGGCAAGGGGCCGCTTTCCCCCCACCCATGCTCAGCTTTTCCCCGGGCTCCTCCCCTGCCCTTTCCCCCATTTCCACCTTACTTGAGGTCCTGGCACCATTGGGGCAGCCATGTGATCCCAGGCCAGAAGCCCCTGCTAGGGCTTCCAGCTGTGGGGGCAGGACCAGGCAGGCCCTGCTGTTGTGGGATCCCACCATGCTTCCCCTGGGTCCTACTGCCTTTGGTTCCTCTATTAATTTTCTAAATTTTTTAGGGGCCCCACGGGTTGGATAGAATGGCCTCATGGGCCAGATCTGGCCCACGGGCCATATTTTGCCCACCCCTGACCTATTGCAATGTTAGCCTCTTTGCAGTAAGACAATAGGGCAGAGCCCTGCTTGGGCAGCAAGAGCACTGCTAAAACAGTCAAAGCAGCAGTGGCAAGCTGCCCTGGCTCTAATTGTAAACCTCTGTGGGTGGCTGGAGAGCCACCTGACCAGAAGGGGCAGGGCTTGGGAGGCATATAAACCCAGGGCCAGAGCCTGGGCAGGCAGCCTGGCCCTAGATACCACAGGGGGAAGAGCTCTGTAGCAAGACAGTTTTGGCTGAGCTAATGTCTGAGATCCTGCTCCACTTGGGAACTGAAACTAAGGGGCTGAGGCCTTGTACGGAGTAGGGACCCAGGATGAGGGGGATTTTGTTATACAACCAGTGGGCTTAGAGTTTTGTTACAGCCAGGGGGATTATATTTTGGTTTGTGGTTTATGCTGGTGGACTGAATGTGTCTAGAGAGGGAGGAAGGAGATCACATAATGTCAGAAGGGCATATAGTGTTTTGATCTCTGCCAGGGGCTGGGCTTACAATGCAGGCATGTGGTATTGCCTTGGAGGTGAGGTACCCCATGTAAGTGATGACTAGTGACATCTGAGAGACATGGGGTTCAGAGCCCACTAAACTAGCCATTAAAGGAATTAGCATGAGAGTGAAGACAGGCTGGGAGTGCCCTACCTGATGCTTGTGGGCAGGGTGGGGACCAGTGGGGTTTGGGAGGAATCTATAGACTAAGAGGAGACAGTCATTCTGGGACCCTGGGGGCAACCTCTCTTTTTTCCAATAAAATATTAACAGCACCTTGAGGTAGGCAAGGGAGCAAAAGCTCAGAGAACAAGTTGCGAGGTTACCAGAGGGCATCACGGCCACCTCACGATGTGGTCCTGCTACAGACCCATTTATTAACTATTAAATACAGATGCCAGTGGATCAAGTTCCAAGTTGAATCAGGAACTCTACCAGGTTCAAGGTTCCCCCATCTTTGAAAAAGGTGTCCTATCCTGAAGAAAAAAAAATAAGGCTGTTATCCAAAAGCAGCTGAGGGGATATCTGCTGGAGCACTTTCTAGAGGTCATCTTTGAGCATGTGAGGCACACTTCTGTTCCGGCTCTGTGTGCTTCAGAGGACAGAATCCTTAAGGGATAGAGACCAGGACCTCGTTGTGCTGCTCTGCTCAGAACCATCCCTCTTCTCCTCCACTAGTGATGCTCCAGCATTCAAGATGCTTGCTTGCAGCCCTACCATGTCTGACAGGATGTTTCCTTGGCAAGACCTACCCTCCTCTCCATCTATCTCACCCAGAGACATGCCTACACACACAGATCTAGCACAGGGGTCTATCTGGCTTCAGCCTCAGCAGAGTGACATCTCTCTGTATTCTACAACAGCAGCTCTCTTTACACTGCTGTATGGTTACAAGCCATAAAACAGTCATTACCTCTATTTATCACAGGAAAGGGCATTTTTTCCCCAGGAGCACCTCTTTCTTTTGGTTCATGCTATTGGGTGTGTCGAGGAAACTGGTGGTTAATAAACCCATCCCTTAATGTCCTGTTTCCTGTTTAATCTTGTGGCCAGGGGCAAAGAAGGCTGAAAATTCACATGGAGCTAAGAGTCATTCTGGGGACAAACAGACAGGCTCTGAAAGGGACAATTTGTACTTACTAGAGTTTGTTTCCTAGTCCTTACCACTGTTCACTTGCAGGGACTGCACCTGGCGTTGGCTGTCTCAGTTCCCAAGAAGCAACTGGCTGTAAAAATGTACACATCTGGGTTGGAGTTCCCATCTTGGTTCTTGCCTTCCTCCTAATCTGAAATAGTGTTTTCCATAGGAGAGACCACTCATGATCCTCATTTCTTGGGTGTCCCATAGGTTCTCTTGCATCCTCCTCCCTCTCCCCCACTGGAACTGGAGGGGTCTGAAGGGACGAGAGCAGTGGTTCCCAAACTGCAGCTCATGACCCCAAATGGCGCCACATCAGCAGATGGGGTCACAATAAACGTGCCCCCTGAGATTTCTGTGCCCACAGCAGGATGCAGGGCTGCAGCTGGGTGGACTAGCTCCAGGCAAGAGCTGCCTCTGTGGCCCAGCAGGTAGGACCCATTGTGGGAGGGAATGCCGCACCACCATGGCCACCACGGTAAGGCATAGCAATGGTGGCAGTGCAGAGTTGTGTCCACGCTGCTGCCAGCAGGGGACGCCTCAGCTTAGCAGCTATGGTGGCGTGACATGGCATGGTGCTCCTGCCCTCCCATGTCAGGTCCTGCCCACTGGGCTGTGGAGCCCCTGGGGGGAGGGTAACAGGGCAGGGAGCCCAAGCCTACAACGGAAAGCCTGCATCCTCCTCCCCAACATGGGCTCCACTCCAGCAGTGCTGCCCACAGGGGAGGGGACCAGGTGGGGTGGTAGAAGCCAGGATCTGCACTCCGCTCTGGACACAGCAGCCACTGCTTTCCATGGGTGGCAGCCAGGGCTTGGGTGTTGCTGGTGGGGCCAGGGGGCTATGGGCCCATGCTGAGGAAATGGGGTCATAAATGGGGTCACACTGAGGAAAAGTTTGGGAAGCACTGGACTAAAGGCTGAGGAGCTGGAATTCCAGTTCCAGTGGCAAATGCCTTGTGGTGGGATCATAGGATCATACTGCTGCACAGGGGCCTCATCCCAGCAGGGCAGGGAACTGGGGGCTATAGCAGGGCCCCAGGAACACCCTAAGTACTGGAAATGGCTGGGGCACCAGGAACTACCCAAGTACCAGGAGCCCCAATACTGTAGATGGTACTGACACTGCTGTTCCTGGCATTCAGGGGTGGATGACAGAGGCAGTCTGGGGGACAGAGGGGTCTACCTGGCTCCAGCACTAGCAGGGTGACATCTCTCTGCACCTTATGACATACAAACCAGTGGTCCATAAGAATGCTCTCAGAAACAGCATTAGTGTACTACCAATTTTCTCAGAACAAGCCATGTACTTTGGAATGAGAAAGTACTTGCAAATTACTATAAATTAGGGCAGATGAAAAGAACAGGGTAAAATTAGCGTTCACAAAGTGAGTATAAAAAAAGTGTTATATTTTGTTCATACTCACAATGGAGAAAGAAAATTAGGAAATTCAGGCAAAATACGTTTTAAAAACGGCCCCATCTGCATCCGTTTCTAACATGGTTAGAAACTGATTCAGACTGATTTAGCTTTACATTAAAAAAAAAACAAAACAGTGTTCTTACCTGGGTTGACATCTACATAGCATCCTCTTTCTGACCTCTACTTATAAGTATTTGTGAGCATGGGCAGAACCAGGATTTGAAGAAGGGAGCGCAGATGGTCTGGTGCGTTGTCCTATATAACACAGCACATATTTTTCTCCAGGTAAAAAGAAGCTAGAAGAGTTCAGAAGGCACTAGGTAGATTTTAACAAGTCATGAATTCAGGTAATGCTCTCATTGCTGCCCAAACAGAAGTGGTGCTGCCACTGCTGTGCAGTTCGTTTTAAACTTTGAGTGGAGCAGGAATCAAAGCGGGGTGCAAGTACACCAGTGCAACCCCCTGGATCCACCCTTGGTTGTGACAGGTTAAACTGTATTTAAAATAAGTTAGTTTCTAGTGGTCCTACATTATAACTCACAACTATGCATGTGGTTAACAGAGTGAAGGGCTTTTTAGAAGTTGTTTTTTTAAAAAATTGTGACTAGTTATTTTTTCCTATCATTTATGCCACAGTGAATAAACATCATCCAATAACATTTTACGACTGCCAGAATTCAAGATGGATTTAAAGATCATTAATTTCCATCATAGAGCAAACATCAAGGCATTTTTGAGATTTTTTTTATCATGCAGAGATGATGTTAGAAACTTCTAGACTTGGCATGATAAAGCAGCCTTCTCTGTGACTTCTGAATGCTACAGTTGAATACACATGTAATTAGGCAAGTTCTCAAATTCCAGCATTTCACAGTGAAGGATAAAGATAGGAGAGGATTCACCTGTTTTTAATTGTCTTCTGTTCTTTGAGAAGTAGTTGAGATGTGTGCAGGCCTCTTTATCTGTCCCTACTCTTGGGGTTCATCGTTCATGGGTGGCCTGATGGCAATCAGTAGGATGGCTTTTCTGAGTAAAGTTACTAGTGTGACTGAGTTGCAGAATGGAGTCCAGTGATTCAGAAACCTGTCTACATGCTTTATAGACGCTTGCTACTTTTGGAGCACCACTGTGTAATGGGTTTTAAAACACTCCAGATTTGAAAATCCATCTTGTTAAAATGTTTTACTCCATTGGTTTTGAAACACAAGCTCTTCCCCATAGAAATGTTTGTCTGAGAAAGTGATGCCTGGAACTTCATGAAGTTCACTTTGCTGTTGCCTTCCCTTGTTCCCTGGCTAGGATGACATTTAACTCTGTATCGCATGTAACCTAGTTGCGTTCCCAACCTGACCCCCATCCTTCTATTGTTAGTCCCTCGCCTGGGCGTTATGTATTTCCCTACCGGCTTTGTCATCTTTTTTTTTGGATTTACCATCTTTACCATTTCCTGAAGATACAGCTTGTAAATCCTACTGAGCTCTATGCTGTATTTCAGAGATCCAGCTTCTTTACCATTCTTCCTGCATTCCTACCCCCAGTAGCAGCACCTTTTAGAAAAGCCCAACTATGCTGCATTTATTATCAGTCTCAAAAAGGTTTTTTTTTTTTTTTTTTTTATCATGGGTGAGTTTTAATCAGCAGTTATTTTATATTTCCATCTAGATCATGGATGAGAATGTCAAACATCATCAGGTCCAGTACCAGTCCTTGCAGAATCTCCCCATTGATGATGATTATTTTGAGATGTGTCGTTCGGCCAGTTCTTAATCAATGCAATACTGATCTTGCCCAAGTCTCATTTGTAAACAGTATTGTCATAGGGAGCTCAGTGAAATGCCTTACAAAATATCTCATTTTATTCTACCCTCACAGTTATCACTAATCAGCCAAACTGCTGATCTTCTCAAGGAATGAAATCAGATTTGTTGGACAAAACCCACTTTTCATGAAACATTGATTGGCATTAATTATATCTGCATTCTTTTAATCACTATTTATTGAATCCCATATCAGTCTTCACATTATTTTTGTCCAGCCTTGCTGTGAGACTTACTGGTACATAACTATACGGATGACACTGCATTCCTTTTTTGAAAATTGATAGTACTGTAGTGGGCCAGTAGGGGGTGCTCCTGTACTGATCCACCCACCTCACTGTGCCCGAACACCTTCCAGGCTCCGACTGCCTCCCTGGGCGTGCCTCATGTCCGGCCAACCCCCTTTCTGGAGCACACCCGCTAGCCTGGGGGTAGAGCTGCCATCACCCAGGGACGGGCTTGATTCTGGCTCTGCATACCTTGGGAAACACAGGCCTAGTAGCCCTTGAGGGTACTTGACTCACTTCAAGAACCTGGGGTGCTTCCCTCAGTCAGAATCACAAGTAGTGGTCTCCCTTAGTCAGCTAAACCAAGGGGATCCCAAGGCATAATCTAGACCCACTCCCAATAAGTCTCCCATGCTAGGTACAAAGGAGAACTTTATTGGTTACAAGGAGTAGGGTTGGAATAGGGTACAGAGTTGAGTAGTATCAGAGAAATTCCACAGAGCAAACAGGGTGCCTGGAGTAGCCTTTGATCACACATCTGAGTTTCTGCAAGCTATATATCTAGCGAGATATCAGGTAGCTTATTCATAAGTATCATCCAGAGGCAGGTGGAGGTTCCCTCTGGAGGCAGGCAGCTCCTTGATCATGAGTTTTGAGAGAGAGAACAAGTTCCAGATGGTCCAGATCCTCTCTCTCTCTCTCTCTGAGTTTTCATCATGGTTACTGCCCCTTGCTCCTGGGCAGTCCTTAACTTATATAGCCCTTATGACCTCATTTACCTGGCCCAATGGAGGCCAGCACCTGTTGGCAGTCAGCCAGCCAATTTGAAATGCATCACTGGTTGTTGGGCAGACTGGCAGTCTCCAGCCCACCAGGAAGCCCAAGCCTCTCACCCAGGTATGTGATGCCAGTCACGTAGGCAGAGGGAGCAGGTTTCCCCCCTCCCTCAGGAATGTATCCAGCTCAGGTTACCTAAAGAGATAGGGTAAGGCGTGTACCCTCTGCAGGGCCTATACTAACCAAATTGTCACAGAGCAGAGTTTTTGGGGAGAAACAGAGGTGGCCTTCTGCCACAAGTACATTAGCACTTTTCCAATGTTCTGGAATATTCAAGTATTGCCATTTTATTAGAAATGAACAAGAATAGGCTAAAGATTTCCTTTGCCAGCTCTAGAGACTTTGGGAAAAAAAAAGTTACCTGGGTCTATCTAGATGCATGTTAACATTCTTCTTGGTCAGTAAGGAACTGAAAAGTATTCCTTTATTCTCATGTGATGTAAGTAGATCTTCTAGATATTACCAAAACCAGAAAAGTATTTGCTGTATGCATGTCCATAGTGCCTTTTCTGCATCATCAATTTTACCATCCCCTTTCTAGTAAGGACCCTATAGTTTTGCTTGAATTTCTGTTCCTAATACTTTTTTAAAACTCCATCATGCTGTCCTTAGTCTTGACAGAAATGCCTTTAGATCCCCCTATCCATTTTCTATACTTTGTAACTTCTTTATATATAATTGTTTCTCCCATTTATTATGCAACTCTTCTGCTGGGCATTGGTTGGCAGCAAGAAGGGTCAGGTTCACATTTTGGGGTACACCATAGATTATACCACTGGCCCGAGAAATCTGGGAACACAAAATTTGCTGGGGCGTCCTATATACCTACCCTTCAGCAATGGGCTGGAGAGGGGGGTCCCACACCAGAGAGGCCTATAAGCTGCTCCTTGGGTTCACCGTGCCATGAGGAGATGCTCGAGAGAGTGTGGTCCTTCTGCATTGCAAGGGGCTTTCTTGCTCCTGGAGAAATGGTAGAGTGCAGATCTTTGCTCCCAGGGAGAGGCCATGTGTGTGTGTGGGGGGGGGGGGGGGGGAGAAACTGTGGCTCCAGCCAGCATGCATGCACCCCAAATTCAGCTGGATTATATGGCCTGCTAAAATGAAAACTGCAGGACAAACTCAAAAGGCAGCCAGGTTGATTACTGGCTGAAGCTGGCCCAACCACACAGCTTGACTGCAGCAACAGACCATCAAAAGAAATAAAAGGGAAAATAAAGGGGAAAAGCCAGGCCTACCCTGTAGGCCTGGGCTGTAGGTAGTTTGGGTCACACTGCTCCACTGGGAACAGAAAGTTGCAAACTTCAACCCAGGCCCAAAACTGGCAGGGTTAGAAACTCCTGGGTTTCAACTCTGTTTAAAATTGCCAGATCTATTTCCTGGTCAGTCAACCCAAGGAAACAATACCTTCCTCCCTGGTAATCACTTAAAACCTCAGAAGAGGGGGAAGAAAAGGAAGAGAGAGGAGTTCCCAGGCACTGGGACAATTCTCCCTCTGTCTCTCTCTTCTACCTGAGGTTCCCTTTTTGCTGTCTGCAAATTTCTTCTCCCTTGGAGAAGACTTTACTCTTCAGCAGCCCCGAGGATCTCCACTTTAAACCAGCTTAGCTCACTTTACATCCCCCTGCATGACATCATCCTGGCCTTGTCCAAATCAGTGAGTACCACACTCCAGCCTCTCTCTTAACCAGTCTGCCTGAAAAGCCTTTGCCCTCCCTTGGCCAATCAGGCCAGAGGATTTTACATATTTTGCCCATATACAAGGCCCCAACTTTCCATGAGCAGAGCACATGGCCAGAACAACAGGGGTCATCTTGCCCACACACACTATACAACAACCAAAAGCACACACTTTGCCATACACAGCCTCAAGTGTGCGTGGGTGTTAAAATTAAATATACTTTATTTCTAATTGTTGCCTTCATTTAACAAGGGGAAAATGGTGGACTTTTAATTAGCATTGTCCTCTTTCTCAATTGTAAGATTGTAGCTTTGGGGCTAAAAAGCTTCCCTGTAAGACCTCTTAATAGTCATTCAGTTTTGCGCATGCTTTCTCTCAGCATTGGGAGCTTAATTCACCTTTCTCCGTCATAATAATATACAAAATAGAATTAACTTGTGCTAACTGAAGAAAAAAAAAAACAAAACAAAACAAAAAAACAAACAAACACCACACACTTTTCTGTAAGTAAATCTAGTGATCTATTTTTTAGAAAATAATGATGTTTTATTACTAGCCACATGGGACCTCCAGCATACATCTCCCACCATGAAGTTTTTCCAGCACAATTTTCCCCTAAGTATTACAATCAGCTATTGAAGGAGTCATTTGTCTTGTTCTCTAGTTTCATATAGTGTCCTAAATCTTTCACTTGTATCCTCTCCTGGGCTTTATTAGCTGTGCATGCAGGAGCTAGTAGACCCGAGTTAGAAGTAACTCAAAAATGAATAACTGTGCTCTGAAGAGTGCTGCCCTCCACCTGCTTTTCCCCCCCAACTCTATCTTTCCTAAATAGGTTACAGGCATATTTCCAATGTTCCAGTCATTTGGATTGTCCCACTAGGTATTAATAAGCCAGCCACCAGAATTTCAAGAAATTTCCATATATTTTTGCTTTTTTACACAGACTTCTAGCATTATCAATAAGTTATAGGAAAAAAAAATATTCCTATTATTTGCCAAAGTGGTTCAATTTGCTTATGACATGCTGAATAAGTGCTTGTACTGTCCTGACCTTCTTAATGTGCTCCTTCTGAATTGCTAGTCAAGCATCCACCTGGCTAAATCAAACCTAATATCAAAGCAAGAAGCTTGTATGTAGCAGGTCACCCTCCCCTGCGCCATCTTCCCTGGTAATCCGTGCCTTACGTGGGGCGCCCTTGGAGTCTTCTTTGGAGTTCTTATGTCCCACCCTATACTCGTCTGCCACATCTTGATGGGAATTATTATGATGATGATGTTCTTGCGAGTGGGAGACTGCCGATTGTATTGTGTATGTTGGGGCCTTTCACCTACATGGGCCTGACCCCTGTTTTGCTCTAGCTAGGCCTCCCCGTCTAAGTCCACTAAACAGGGTTTGACTCCAAGGCTCTAGCCTTTTCTAGTATCTTGAGGCTTGTGGCCTCCTTTCTTTGCTCTTACCTGGAGCCCATCCCCCCTGGCCCAGAGGGCTGGGTGCCAGCCCCACAACCAGGGGGTCACAAGTTCAAAACCAGAGAATGACCCTGAACTTATACCCTTTCAGTCCAGAAAAAGGGAAACCAAAATAAAATTGCACCGCAGGTGTACCAGACCTCCCCAGCCTTTTTAAGATCACAACCTCACTGGCACCAGGGTCCCCACTCCATAGTGGTTCCATAAAATGAAGCCTCCTCCAGTCATAATAATCATAATGATTTGATCATTAATCAAAAAGAAAAAGAAAAAAAAACAAACAGTCCCATACATGGGTAATAACTGCCACCAGCTAATGTGATAAAGAAAAGCAGCATGTCAGCTTACAGTCACATGGTCCATGCTTCAGCTCACGTCCTTGCTATGATGTGGCTGCTGTCTCTCCAGACTTCTGTAGTTCCCAGCTTCTCCATGGAGCTCCCTGAGGTACTTCTTCCCCCTTCTCACTGCTGCTCTGCCCAGGGTTTTTATAGTCCTGCCCTTTCTGGTCAGCTGACTAGCTGGCCAGACTCAGCATTTAACCCCTTCTTTACCAGCACTCTGTGCCCAGAAAGTTCTGGCCTTAAAGGGGTGGATGTGCCTTCTGGTGACAGGGCTAGGGTCCCCTGTTACATTGTCTCTCTGGAAATGTTGGCCATCTCTATTGAGCCCACTCTGATTGGAATCTGGCCCAAAGTTTCAGAAAACCAAGACCTTTAGCTTTGTAACTTTGATAAAGCCAATGCTAACCTCTAGCATTTCCAGTCTTCTCTCCCTTGCAGGTATGAAACAATCACTTGGACTTTCCTTTTCAGCTCTCTTCCAAGATCCCCGGAGTCTTCTGTAATTTTTGTAATCATTGCATGATGCCCTGTCATTACCAATGGAGAGTGGCCACATATTCTTGATAATCTTACCTAATCTGCAGCTACATATTGTGTTTTCACTCCACAGAAGCAGCACACAGTCCTTGTGTTCTTTGCTGAATTTGTTTTTTGTGAACTGCTTGATACAGAATTGCCATTGATTACTTACTATGTTAGGATGGCTGAATAACCTCTCCTTTGGTACCTGTTTTCTTTATACTGCAAGGTATATATTGTGTAGACCCCTGTAACTTTCTATGACCTTTCTCCAGAGATAGGATCTTTGGTAGCTGATTGGTGGCTCAGATGATAACGACTCAACACTTCTAGCTAATGGTTCTCTTTGTCTTGTACCTTGCAGCATACCTAGCTCATACAGGACTAACTCAACAGGTGCATGAATGTGTACCATTACAGGTCATGATTTCTCCCTTACTGAGTATCTCTCTCTCATGAATTCTTTACTTAGTTCAAAATGATAACAAAGTATTAATTACTGATGCTGACTGAAGACAAAGTTTAATTAGACAAAGTTTGCTTAATCCTTAAAATTTCCAGTGTCACATCAGGAAATGTAGACAGGCATATAAGATTAAAAGGTACCAGTGCTAGAGCTTCCTGTTCTAAAAGAAGAGATTGACATCTTCAATTATTTTGTATCATTGTACTCTTCCTCCCCTTCTGAGAAGAGATTGATTAAGCCACTAATGCTATTTTTCTGCTTATGGGAATAGAAGGAAGTTTTGGCTTCTCTCCACCAAAGCCTGATTACCTCCAAGGATGCCTTCTAGGATCCCTTTCTGCCAGAAAAAAAGATTGATGATTTAAATAGGGTGTCTAATTTTTCATCCATTGCACTGTTCCTCTATAGCAAACTATAAATTCTGTTAGAACCCTACTGACATCACATTTTATTTGGCAGCTGATCTTGAAATCCATTATACATTAAGGAAGTAACACTTATAACCATGCATTGCTTTATTAACAGAGTTTTGCCTCTCAAGTCATATAATTTAGAAAGCATATTATTAAATTTCCAATATTAAACATTTTGGAAGCAAGGTTCACCTAGTCCTGGACATAACATTTCCTTTTGATATCCTGAAGGAGGTTTGATAATGTTGTCAAATAACCTTGGGAATCATGACATTTTGAGATTTGACTTGCACAAGACCAAAGTAGTGGATCACCAGAAAAATAATGAACTTTGCTGATGGTTTCAGAAGGGGCATTACAGAGAGGCACATGAAAGAAATCACAGACTGTTTTAGGGAAAAGAGGTCAATGTTTGTACTATTAGCAGATCAGAGAAGAAATGTTCAGTGGTGGGGAACCCAAGAGGAGAACAATAGGACCTTGTCCTAGGACCTGGACAGGTTATAGGTGTGGGCTAACAAAAATAGGATGTGTTTCAATACTGACAAGTGCAGGGTGCTGCACTTGGGCAGTAGGAACCACCAGCACACTTATAAGCTGGGAAACTCCCTTCTCAAGAGCATGGTGACAGAAAGAGATCTTGGAGTCACTACTGACTCCAAGATGAACATGGGCTGACAATGCGAGGTCACGGTCAGTAGGGCTAACCGTACCTTGTCATGAATCCACAGATGCATCTCAGGCAGGGCCAAGGAGGTGATCCTCCTCCTCTATGCAACACTGGTCAGGCCTCAGCTGGAGTACTGTGTTCAGTTCTGGGCACCGCACTTAAGGAGGGACAGCATTGAGAGGGTCCAGAAGAGAGCCACCTGCATGATCTGGGGACAGCAGGGCAGACCCTATGAAGAGAGGCTATGGGACCTTAACCTGTTCAGCCTTCGCAAGAGAAGTCTGAGAGGGGACCTGGTGTCCATCTATAAACTCACCAGGGGGGACCAGCAGGGTTTGGGAGAGACCCTGTTCCCCCTAGTGCCCCCCGGGGTAACAAGGAATAACGGCCACAAATTGTTAGAGAGTAAATTTAGACTAGACATTAGAAGGCACTACTTCACAGTCAAGTCAGCTAGGATCTGGAACCAACTTCCAAGGGAAGTGGTGATGGCTCCTACCCTGGGGGTCTTTAAGAGAAGGCTTGATGTCTACCTGGCTGGGGTCATTTGAGCCCGGTTTTCTCTCCTGCCCAGGGCAGGGGGTTGGACTCGATGATCTACAAGGTCCCTTCCAACCCTACTTCTATGAATCTATGAATCTTCTATGAATCTATTACTTTTGTCATTCTTCCTTCAAAATACTTCTTATCCTCCAGGAATTTTCTTAGTAACAGTCAAAACTCAGTACAACTCCGATTAAAACAAGAG